GCTTGTGGGGGAGGCCCAGCTCTGCCACTAAGGCCTGTGTGACCTTGAGCAAGTCCCCTTCCCTTCCTCCCTTCCTCCCTCACTCCCTTTCTCCCTTTCACAAACATTTATTGAGCATCTTGCAATGGCCAAGCCCTTTGCTAGGCTTTGAGGCTTCAAAAAATATAGTCCTTGACAAGGGCTTAATTTCCAAAATATACAAACAACTCAACAACAACAAAACAAACCACCCAATCAAAAAATGTGTCAAACACATTTCTCCAAAGAAGACATACAAATGGCCAATAGGTACATGAAAAAATGCTCAATATCACTAATTATCAGAGAAATGCAATTCAAAACTACAATGAGGCATCACCTCACACCAGTCAGAATGGCCATCATTAAAAAATCCACAAACAATAAATGTTGGAGAGAATGTGGAGAAAAGTGAATCTTCCTACACTTTTGGTGGGAATGTTAACTGGTGCAGCCACTGTGGAGAACAGTATGGAGGTTCCTTAAAAAACTAAAAATAGACTTAACATATGATACAGCAATCCCACTCCTGGGCATATATCTGGAGAAAACTCTCATTCAAAAAGACACATGCTTCCCAGTGTTCACAGCAGCACTATTTACAATAGCCAAGACACAGAAACAACCTAAATGTCCCTTGACAGATGACTGGATAAAGAAGATGCTGTATATATCTATACAAGGGAATACTTCAGGGCCATAAAAAAGAATGAAATAATGCCATTTGCAGTAACATGGATGGACCTAGAGATTATTATATTAAGTGAAGTAAGTCAGACAGAGAACAAATACCAAAAGATATCACATATATGAGGAATCTAAAAAATGACACAAATGAACTTATTTACAAAACAGAGACAAATTCACAGGCATAGAAAACAAACTTATGGTTACCAAAGTGGAAAGTGGGGGTAGAGGGAATGGATAGTTTGGGATTAGCAGATGTAAACTACTATACATAAAATAAATAAACAGCAAGGTCCTACTGATGGCACAGGGAACTATATTCAATAACTTGTAATAACCTACAATGGAAAAGAATATATATGTATAGCTGAATCACTATGCTGTACACCAGAAACTAGCACAACATCGTGACTCAACTATACTTCAATAAAAAAGAGGAATATTACCAAAAAAAACCCATATATATATACAGTCCTGATCCTTGAGATTCTTGTAATCTAATTGCAGAAGCAGAAATGTGGACAAATTAATATTTTTCTCCCTGGGGCTCAGTTTTCTTATTCATAGAATGAAGAAGCTCCAGCCTTGAAACTCTTGTAATTCTCTCATCATGTTAGACCATCTGTTCCCACCAGTCTGGTGAAGTGTTAGGTCACAGTCAGCGGGTCATCCACCGGGAAGAGTTAGCTAGTAATAAATGGTAACTTGGATTGCACTGAGGGCAGTCTGCAGCGTGGTTCATTGTGGCCAACAGATTGCTGTGGTCTGGTTCTCGCTCTCCAAATTTCCATTCTCTCAGCTACTACAGCTGAAACTGTCAAGATTATTTTCGGCATGTCCAGGGGATCCAAGAGGGATCAGATGAAAGATAGATTATACCGGGAATGTCAGAGCCAGCACCAAACTCAAGATCCTTCTGATTGTTGGTCCAGACTATCTGCAAGCCCACCAGGTACTTCCCTTCCTTGGTTAGGAACTGAGGAATATGAAATACAAGTCTGGGCATCTAAGAAGCTATCAGGTTGAAATTGTTTCACAGGATTTCCCAGGACAATGCATTAGGTGCATTAACTAATGTTATTCTGACTAGTGGCAAATCTCAGATTTTAGTTGCAGAGTTCCTTTCTTTCACATCCTCATCTTTCTCTCTCACACACACACTACACAGCAACCATCCTCCCTCTTCTCTGTTTCTCAAGTTGAAACCTAGCAAAGGGCAAGGAAGATACCCAGGCTATTCAACTCATCCAAGATGTCTTCACAATCCAATAGAGGGCCTTCAGCCCAGATGAAAACCAGTGGAATAATGATCCTTTCTTGGGAACCAGTGACATCCTGCCAAGTCTATGTTTATGCAACAGTCTTGGTCACTTATCTTTCTTTTTTTCCCCCTAGTTGTCTCTTCTTGATATCTTCTTGAACTTGGATTTCAGAGTCTTTGCCTTACATTTGCAAAATATTCAGGGAAAGTGGTCCCAGACAGTCCCAGCTCCCATGAGCTGGAAGATCTACTTCCCTGGCTCAAAAGAACACACCTGTCTGGTTCTCAGCAGTGCAGGGGCTGCTAGAGCACTTCTCACTGCATTGTTCAGTTGGAGCATCAGGCCTGAGAGAGGGGCATGGCTGGGCAGACTTCAGGGGTAGCTGTGGAGCTATCAAAAGGTTTGTGATGAAAAATGGATCTAAGGGGGCAGATATAGCTCAGTGGTAGGGTGCCTGCTTAGCAGGCGTCAGGTCCTGGGTTCAATCTCAGTACCTCCATTAAAAAAAACAAAAGGATCTACAGAATTCCATCACTTGAATGTGCAGTGTGGATGCTGCCCATTCTATCCAAGAGAGGTCTATATTAGCTTCTTCCCTGGAAGATTCCAGAGGTGAGAGGGCTCGTGAAAGCTGGTTGGACAGAGTTGTCTTTACCCAGCTGAATACAGCCCTGGTCACAGGGAGTCAAGGAAGCCTCCACTGTCACCTCTGACAGGCTGATATCAAAGAATCCAGCTTGACCAATAGAATATCTCAGTCTTCTATTTGTTTGACTTTCCTTTTAGCTTTGGAAGCAACTCTCATCTTCACTGCCCTGTTGTTTGGCAGAACAGCTTTTGATTAGGCATAGAACAATATCTGGCAGTTTCTTCCTGAAATCGCTGGATGAACACGGAGGCTGATACTGAAGTGTTGCGCTGAGACATTCTGGGGTCCTGCATGGGTCACGGTTGCTGAGAGAGTGACTCATAGAGGAAGCGCAGGCCTGCCTGGGAAGCAGGAAGGGTAGCATTTAGGGATTGATGTGCCCTGGACCATGACAGACAGAGGCAGACGGGATGCGGGCCACAGGACATTGCATCATTCTGGGGGTGACCTGGACAGTGCCAAAGGCAGACAAGATGCCAGGATGACCACCGTTATTCTGTCTGACGGGTCTGTAAAGCCTTGTCTCTTGCCATTTCCTTAAAAGAAACCTCTTCTGAATTGTCTGTGATTTTAGTTAGGCTCCAGCCAAGCTTTCTTTTAAAAATAGGACACATTACCTAGTTATTGAAATACCAAGCTTTGTCAACATCAACATCATCATTATCAAAATATGAGCCAGGTGTTCATCTGAGCAGATCTCTGCATAGAGCAATTTAAATGAATAAGCACACTTTCTTCTCATCTTTGGGAATTTAACTGAGAAGCAAAAAACAAAACTGGTGTGGATAAAAATATAAAAAGATATGCAGACATGCACCATGTGCACAAAATCTGAGCACACAACATCACGAAGGACTAAGAAGCAAGGGTGCCTAATTCTCAGTTATATCTGTATCCATCGATGGCATGACATCCCGCTGATGGCTCTCAGTCTGGGCTGCTGGAGAGAGAAGAGTGAATTTGAAGGGTCATTGCAAACCCTTCTGAGTTAAAATGACCCAGACTCAGAGCCCTTTAAGACAAAGACCATGTCTTATTTATATTTGAATCCTCACCATCCCACACAGGGCCCAGATGTAGTTTGATTATAAGAACTATTATTTCACTGTTGTTATCTCTACTGTGAATGTCCGTATGTCATTTACTAACTATCCCATTAGATAAAACTGTCATAATGAGAGTTCATGTTGACACACATCTTCAACATGCTTAATTTTGTGGGAAGTCCAACATATCCCAGTTCTGGAAGCTCTTTTCCCAGAATTCCATAAGCTGAAACAACTATCTATGAACACCATATATTAAGAGATTTGTTAAGAACACCATTGTATTGCTGATACCATGAAATGGGTGCACTGGAAAAACGAAATTGTGTTTTGATCAAATAATTAAATATATGTATAGAGCAGAATGGGGTTTTACATCCCTCTCACCCATAGTCCATTTGGGCTGCTATAACAAAATACCATAGACAGGGTAGTTTATAAACAGCAGAAAATTATTGCTCACTGTTCTGGAGGTTGAAAGTCCAAGATCAGGGTGCCAGCATGGTCTGGCGATCCACACATGGCAGGAGGGACTATAGAGCTGTGTGGGGTTTCTCTTATAAAAGCACTCATCCCATTCATAAGGGCACCAACCTCATGGTCTAATCATGTCCCAAAGGCTCTACCCCCTAATACATAACCTGTGGGGGTTAGGATTTCAATCTATGAATATGAGGGAAGACAAACATTCAGGCCATACAAACTCTCACCTCTCTCCCCTGTCTTTTCCTGGGGCCTGACAAACCAAAGTCAGAACAATCCAAGGGGGAGGGACAGCAGAAAGTCCCTAAGCATCAATACACAGGTGGTACACCAAGTTATCAGCTTGGTCAGGAGTGAGCTCAGCTCACTTTACAGAACCCAATGTCCTGTTTCTCCTACCAGCCTCCACCCAAGTCCCGGCCCTGGCAGAGGGGAACCCAAACTGCCTGCCCCATCTTGGAGGCTGAGGATGCAAGGCAGGACCTGGGGGTAGGAGCTGCGGGTTGAGAAAGTCTAAAGAGGCAGGATTGGGGGTGAGGGGGTGCTGAAAGGAGAGAAAAGTAAATGGGAGGGGCCCTCCGGCCTAGCCCAAAGGACCCAGGGCTGAGGAGGGCCCAGGTACTCCCCCAGCTGGAGAAGAGCCACACCCGATTGATTTGGAAGCTACAACTCACACTTGAGGGGCTGTTCTCTACATTCTTCTGGATTCCATGGCACACAGAGAGGCTAAAATTGTATAAGAAACTGAAAACTGCTATTCCCTGCCACTCTTCAGGGAGAAGCTCTGAATTTGTTTTATATGCATTTTTTCCTTTTCTTTCATAAAATAAAAGGAATTGTACTATCATCAGTTTGTTTTTTTTAAGTTAGTGCTGGGGAGAGCTCAGCAGTAGAGTACATGCTCAGCATGCACAAGGTCCTGGGTTCAATCCCCAGTACCTCCATTAAACACATTAATTTAAAAGAAGTAAACTTGGTTCCCAACCTCCTTAGCTTTATCTGGGTCTGACGGGAGCCAGCTAATCACTAAGACCTCCCATACAAGCAGGGTGGAGCTTTCTAAATGGACATTTGTGAAGCCCTGGGTACTGGCTGGGCTGGGCAGGGTCAGAGAAATGCAAAGCATCCCAGGCATTAGCCCTGGAATTTACTCCCAACCTCTCCTCTGCCCACAGCAAAACCGTACCCCCACCCCCCTGCCCCAAGGCCTCAGTCTTCTCTACTTGGAGCTGAAGTTACCCCTGTTGGCCCAGATGGAGGGAGGGAAGAGGCTCTGGTCAGAGGGAATGCCTAATGAGTCATCACGTAGTAGGAACAGGCAGAATTGGAGCAGCAGAATCTGCTGGTCAGGTTCAAAAAATAGGTGTTTCCAGTTTTGTGAGTTCAGTGGACAGGCAAGCAGGATGAGAGCCCATGGCCGGTGGATAAAAAACTCCTGGAAATTCTGCTTCTTGAACCCTGGGGCAGGCTCAAGAGTAGCCGGAAGGGCACGGACTGGAGCTATCATCTCCTTAGTATAGCAATGGGGCCTGACACCCTCAGTGGAGTCAAGATACAAAGGAGGGATGTTGAATGAGAGATGAAGGATTAAAATAGGTCTAGGGGGCTGTTCTAGCCCAAGGAGCAAAAACACATGAGAAAAAAATATACCTCGACTGACAGCATATTCCAACAAATTCCAAGGAGAGGGGGCATGGGGGTTGGGGACCTTTACCATCAGCAGCTCCTTTTGCAAACCTGGGGTGACTCACTAACTGGAATGGGGTGGGGACAGGAGAACTATATGATAGCAACTTGGTTAGTGCGTTACATTTTACAAAGCATGGTCACAACGAACATACCACTGAATAGGACAGCAGTCCCAGGAAGCAGTGTCATCATCACACTGCACCTATTTTACAGATGGTAAAACTGAGACAGGTACTAGCACTTGCTGCAGCAGTGTTCCTCAAAGCCAGGGCAGAGGACCCTTGGTTATGCACAAGCTGAATTAGTGCTACTAAACACCTGAAGTAAGACATATTGACTTCAACAGGCATGCCACTGTTGCACAGAGCCTTTAAAAATACAACTAACGCCATCAAAACTGTGATTTCAAGGAAACTTGCTTAGAAGGAGGCTATGTTTTAAAAGCAAGTTTATTTAAAGTTTGTTTAAATAAAGTATTAAATAAATAATATGATGTATGATACTTGGTTTTGGTTTTTTAAAAGTGAAGGTAGGAAACCAAGTACTGATGGTGATGATGACGACAGCAACCCGCTTTGTAACACTCACTATGTGCCAAAAGCTTTACATGTGCTCAATCATGTATTATCATGACAGCTCTGTGGAGTTGAATCTCACAATTATTAGCCTAATTTTACACAGAGGCCAGGGGGAGACCCTGGAAGGCACAGGGTGGAGGACCGCATCTAGGCAGTCAGACTGCAGAGCACAGTTCACCATGCGGCTGTGAGAGCACTTGGCTGGGAGCACAGCTGCAGGGGCTTTGAGACAGCCTCTGGCTGGGGAGGGGCTCAATGTGCCCTCCTTGCTTCCAAGGCAGAACTGTAAGAGACCGAGTCTCATGACAGCGTTACTTCCCGCTGCAAATGAGGACAAGCCAGTGACAAAAGACTAGCTCCAGAAGGGTGTTTTCTGCACCAGGCAGTGGTTCTGTTGCACAGTTGATATGAGGGCCTGGGGCGAATCCTGGCTAACTCAATTTCAGGCTGGCTTTCCTGCCTGCCTGCTAAACTCTTTCAGATGATTTTGGCCAGATCTGAGAGGCTTTGACAGACAGGTTGTCTCTGCGTTAGAGGAGAGGAGGGACATCTGGAAAATGCCTGGAGAGAGGAAAGGAGAGATGGTCTGAGTCCAAAGGCTCGCAGGACCAGCGTGGACCAGGTGAGGAAAGCAGAGGCTGATAGGTCCTAGGAATCCCTCGGCAGAAAGCATAAAAAACAGTTGTGCTTCTTAGTTTCACACAGTGGTTAAAAATTTTCCAGCACATCCTCCAGGTCAGCATGGTGTTTAAGAGCAAGAGCTTTGGAATTTCAGAGCCACTTCTCATTAGCCAAGTGGCCTTGCCTCTGGTGGTTCAACCTCTCTGGGCCTCAGTCTCTCCACCTGTAAAATGGGAACAGTAAAAGTGCTTCTCCTGGAGGGTACTGTGAAGATTCAGTGAGATAGTCTAAGCAGAGTCAAGTGCTCAACCCTGTAGTTGTTACTGTTATTATTATTATCCCTTGGGATGAGGTGCAGGCTCACAACATCTCTGAGACTTGACTCAGATTTTAAGTCCAGGATGATCTACCAAAGCAAAGAAAAATTTTTTAAATTCTCATTTTGATGTAGTCAGTGCCCCAAGATAATAAAAAAGAGGCACATGGGCAAGTGTACTGATTTAGTGGGACGTTTTAGCCCAAAGTAAGACATCAAAGTGGCCAGAAAAGCGATCCAAAGTTGAATTCATGGTCTCTCCCTCAAAACCTACTCTTGCTTCAGCGTTCCCTATCTCAGTAAATATACCTCTTACGTGTTGGGGCCTTGAAGGGAGGGGAGACCAAGGAAATGACATCCTTCTTCCATTTCCAGGTCAGACCCATACTTTGGGGCTGGTTCAATCACTTATATCCCTCTGAACTAACGTGCCTCCCAGACTGAAGTCTTCTACAAGGGGGCAGAGCTGGCCCCACTAAGCTCACTGCGTGGCCTTGAGGATAAACTAGATGACACCTATCTGTGGCCAGGAGTGGTGACTACAAAACCCAGAAGGCTCTGAGCCACACTAGCCCAGTTCCTCCTCCCCAGTGCACCAATCATATAAGGAGTGATGGGGACAGAGCTCAGGAGTGTTACTCTAGGAGTCCCTCCACCTGGATGCACAAGTCACAAACCTCAGAATGATCTTTAGACATGTGGTGTCTCTCACCTTCCACCCACTCCCCATATCCTGCTCATCAACAAGTCCTGTCAATTTCATTTCCTAAACTTCTTGAATCTGTCTTCTTTGCTCCATTCTACAGCCACTACTCTATAGTCCAGGACACTATTATCTCTCACTTGGATTCTCACAGGCCCCTTCATTCACTTTTGCTGTCTCCAATCTGGTCTCCACACTGCAGGCTCCAATTCCTCCTTACATTGTTTTTGTTTGTTTGTTTGTTTGTTTTTAAACAGTTCCGTGTTGCTCTTAGGTAAAAACTAAAATCCATTATGTGGATCTAATGCTCTGCTGGCCTAGCCCATGCCTCACAGGAGAAGCTCCAGCCACCCTGCTTTCTTTAAATTCTGGGAGATTCATTCTGCCTCAGAATCCTTGCCCACTCTGTTCCCTCTGCCTAGAATGCCCTTCCTTCTTTCCTCTCTCCTTCCTTCCCTTCTTTCCCCTACCTCTGGCTAACTCTTGCCCTTCTTTCATATCTTAACTCAAACGTCACCTTTCCAGGGAAGCACCCCAGGCCAGATCAGGTACCCTACTAAAACGTTCAAGGGTTTGGTGAGCTTTTCCTTTGTAGTATTTATCACAGATGGTAATAAGATATCATATGGTTCTCTGATTAATGCCTGTGTCCCACACTATAATCTAAGCTCCAGGAGGATAGGGTTATCCTGTCTCTCAGCACCCAGCATGGTCACTGGCACACAGAAGATGCCAGTAAATATTTATTAATTGACTGGATGAAGGAGAAAAAGTACTGGAGAAAAAGGTGCAATCCTAGTAGGCGGTTTTGGAGATCAAATGCCCTTCTTCTGGGGAAGTGGAGCAGACTAGGGAGACACCAGTTAGGGTATTTACGTATGAGTGGGGGCAGGGGACAAGGATTGGCCTGGAATCAGGGACCAGAGCTAGCAGATCCACTAGCTGTGTGTGAAACATGAGTGTAGCAGCATAAGGAATAAATAAGAGTGGAGCAAATGAGGTGATTCCTGGTAGGACCCTTCTCAGGTGGGATGCACACAGGATTTGAAACTTGTCCGCAAGTCTAGGAAATGCTATTACTGGCACCAGCCGCAGCAAAAATCACGAACAACATTTTGCTGGGTGTAGAGGCTTTCAGGTTGCTGCATCCGCAGATGAGCAGAGAATTCATCATTTTGTGGGATGTACAGCATCTAAATCCCCTCTTTAGTTCTGGGGAAGCCCCATGGCATGAGTCTTTCGGGGAGGCAGCCAGCTTTGTTTCTTCTACCTGCTTTCCAAGGCTCATTCTCAAGCCTTCCTGGAGAGTCTCCATGCTTCCCAATATCCCTGAATAAATTCCTTTTCTGCTTAAGTCAGCCAGAGTTAGTTTCTGTTGTTTTCAGCCAAGAACCATAACTGGTATAGTCTGGGGCCAGTGACATGTGGCTTCTCTGTGTAGCCAAGCATGTGGCTGCCAGCCACGCAGACACCCCAGGAGGGGGCAGGACTGCTTTGGCAGCCTGGAAGTTAAGGCCTCCTGAGAAACAGGAAAGAAAGTTGGCTATTCTGAGCCAGAGAGAGCCTTTGGTTAGAGTCAGGGTTGCCACAACTCTGGGTAGAGGCCACATCAGAGGAATCATCCTATGCCTACGATATGGGGTGGGTCACCTAACGTACCCCAGACCGGTCTGGGAAACACTCTGATAGGTGGAGGCCCAGTGAACCCACAGTTGGCTCCTGGCCTCTTGGGAATGCAAACTCCCGCGCCTCTGGGCCTTCCTGCACTCGCACTTTTCCTGAAGAGACTGCACTCTGGTAATCTATTCAAGGTATTTTCCACTTTGAGGACTCTGAGTCCACTCTGAAGAACAAACACCAGAGGAAATAAGCAGAGAGTCAGAGTGCACTTACCACCCTTCCTGGTGCCTCAAATAATAGGATGTCAGGGTAGGAAAGGCCCTTGTGAACCATCTAGTCTTGTGGTCTCAGAGGTCAGTGGGCCTCAGAATCAACCAGAATCACCAGGTTAACAGTGTGAGGTCCCACAGATTTCTTCAACCCCATGGCTGACCCATGAGGCCTAGGGTGGAGCCCCAAGATCTGGGTTTTGTACAAACTTTCCCAGGCGATTCTAACATAAGTTGTTCAAGAATACTGATCTTGGCCCTTCATCCCATTTTACAGAGGAAGAAAGTGAGACTCAAAATGAAATGTCCTCCTACCAAGTCCCCACAGGGAATCAGTTGTCGACCTGGACACCAAGCCCAGGCCTCCTGACTCCCACTCCCCTGGGCTGCCTGGGGCTAGGACAGGACATGGATAGTGTTTCTTTCTCAAGTTGCTTGCCTGATTTTGATCCCATAACAGGGCCCTCCCTTTTCTGATTTTAGGAGGGCAGCTTGTCATGGGAAAGTGCTAAAAATCAGGATGGGAATCTTGTCTTTGCCAGAGAGGCTGCTGTGGCCTTAGCTGAGGACGAAACCCATGGGCAAAGCCAGGAACTGATACAGCAAGGCGTTTGGTAGCAGGTCCAGGTTCTAGTTCTGGGTCTTCCAATGCCCTATGTGACCTTGGACAAGTCAGTCCCCTCTCTGAGTCTCTGTTTTGTCCAGTTTATAAAATGAAGATAAATCTGCTATCTGCTATCTACCCTGCCTACCTCGTGGACCTCTGGTGTGACTGTGCTTTGTAAACTCCCAAGTGCTGCCCCAAGCTGGAGGGATTACAGACACTGAAGATGTGACAAGAATACTGATTTCCACTCAGGGTCCCTTGAGGACGTGCTGGGCCCATCTTGGAAACAGCAGAGGAAGCTAAGAAGCTGCCAGCAGTGCTTGGGGGAGACTCTCAGAGCCTTATGGGCTGGCTGGCAGGGAGAGCCCTTCTGCTCACATAACACTCCTGCATCAGGGGATTTGCCATGGTCCAGGACACCCCCCACTTCTAGATGCCTGTGTGTTGGGGGTAGGGGAGTCACTGGATCAGGGCCTGATACAACCAGGACCCTCTGTCTGTCTCCTAAAGAGTCATGGCTCAGGAACCCTAGTAAGTGTTCAGAGGACCCTTGGGGTACCAGGGGAGTCACACCCCACCCTGTCATGCCATAGCCTGTTTTGGCTGTTAGAACAGGTTCCAGAGGGTGGATTAGCTCACTCTGAATATATTTTTCCTTCTCACCATATCACACCTCTCCAAACCATTTCTCCAGCTGGCAGGAGTCCCAGTTAACCTTAAGTTCTCAGAATGCCAGGATTCTTACAATGTTCAGCCAAAAACCTGCTTTGTCACCTTGCTCAACCCCTTCACCTCTTTGAGCCTGTTTTCTCATCTGTATATGGAGAACATAAGCCCTGTCCCTCCTCCATCAGAGGTCCGCTGTGTCAAATGAGAACACCATTGAGGGAGGGTTTTGTTGTCATCACCTTGTAGGAGAAGACAGAGGAGGCCTGGACAGGGAGGGAGTGGGGGTGGGCATAGAAATGACTGACCTTCAGCTCCAGGAGGCAGAAAAGCTCTGCAGAATGACTTCATTCCTGTCTCTACTTGGGGCTGTCTCAGGGCAGCAGGTCCTTTGTTTTACGATGCCTCTCATTCTCCGGTGCTGGGCTCAGCCTGGCCACTAAGAGGAGAAGGCATCTCAGACTCAGGGGCCTTGTGGTGCTGAAGCCTAAAGGAAAGCTTTCAGTCAGAGACTTAAGCAGACAGAGGTGTGAGGTCATCTAGGCTGGCACTTTCCAAACTTTTTTTTTTTAAAAGCAGAACACTTTCTTCACAAGATCTTAAAGCAAACCCCTTACCAGTTACTTCTGAAGAATCACTGACTCTGCATCACTGATTTACTGTGCAGATGAGGGAAACGAAGCTCAAAGCAGGAGGGAATGGTGGCCGAAGCCAAACAATAAACCAGTGGTTAAAACATATTTTAGAAACCATCTGGAAATCAAGTCCCTAACCCTCAGCACAGGTGTCTCCAGTTCAGGAAGACATCAAAGAGAAACAGAAAGTTTCCTTCATTTCAGGCCATTTACACACCCCGGTGGAGGAGTCCCAGAAAGGGGGTGGAGGGTAGTAAATGGGGGAATGTATTGACACTGCGGTAATAAACAAATCTTACTGGAGAGCAGGGAACACACCATCTCCTTTGAAAACGAGAATGTTTGGCAGGATGTTTCTGAGGCACTGAGCCCCTTGCTGACATAAAGCAGAAGCAGGCCCGGCAACTTCAGACAAAGGGAAATTCCTTCCAGCTGCCTTAGCTCTGTCTTCACCATTGCTCCCCAGAGCACTAGGAGCCAGGCTTTGCTCCAGGCCACCACGAGACTGACTTACCTGCAGAAGGGCCCCAGATGTCTCCTGCAATGGTCACAGGGTACTTGCAGGAGTCATCAGCCAAAGAGTGACTTTTTGGTGTACCTTTGGGGAGCTGACAGCCTAGGGGTGGGGAGTGGACAGAGTCAGACACGGCAATCGCCAAACGCTGCACCATGTTGATGTGGGGCAGGTGCTCGAATGGAGGCACAGTCCACACGGGAGGAGAGGACCGGTAGGGACTGAAGACCAGGCACACTGCTGGCTTTATGGCTAAGAAGTTTACGAAGACTCAAAAAAAAAAAAAGCTTACGAAGACTAGACCAAGGTCTCAGGTCGCTCGTATGGAGCTGGGGCAGGGGTTTCACACAGCAGAGAAGGGCGAACAGACCCCAGCTGCCCGGCCAGGAGGCAGGGAAGGGGCGGGATCTGGATGCCGCAAGAGGAGCCCAGAGGAGCGGCAGGGCGCCAGGGGCCAGCGCGGCGGGGCCACACGGCCGCCCCGCCTCCTGCTCCGGGCGAGTCTGAGCGCCGGCCCCGTCGCCTGGGGATCCGAACTGCTGAACGGACGCCGGGGAGGCTGGGGGGCGGGGGACCGCGGCGGGAGCGCACCGCCAGCCTGGACTGACCGCAGGACGTCACCGCCTCCATTCCTCTGTTCTAGGGGGTGGGTGTCGCCATTAGTTAAAGCAGAGATGCTTTCTGAAAGGAGCTGAGGTCAAGCAAAAGGCCCCCGGACCCCAGCTCTCCTAGTGGGGAGATTTTACTCACCTGGAAAACGGGCGATTCTAGGTCGGGGAACACATCGCGCAGGGGAACACGCAGACAGGTTCTGATCAAGCCCTTAATCCCAGTGTCAGCTGGCAGACGGCAGGGTGCCATGCCTACCAAACCCCAGTGACTCCTGGCCTTGACTCAGAAATTTCCAAGGGGAGGGGCCCTTAGAGACTAGCGCTCTAGAGTTTCATGGCTTTCACGCTGTTCTAGATCGGAGGCACAGCCTCCAGGGTAGTGCACTGGAGGCCGAGGGGTGAGAGATGAGGCCGCATCTCGCCCCCTCTTTCATCTTTACTGCATTGAGACTCTGCATGAGACTTATTTAAAGGAGAGACTGTAACTAAACACAAGTTCTAGGTCCTCTTTCAAGCCTATTGTTCTCCCATTTTTACTTTATAGTGCATGACCTTGGGCAACTTAAAAACCTCTGTCTCAAGTTCTTCATCTGTAAAACCAGAATAGTATAAGACTACCTCCTTAATAGGGTTTTTGTAAGGATTAAGCAAATTAAAGCATGTAGTGTTCTTAGAACATGTTGTGCCTGAGTCACAGTAAAAAACATGTTAGAGGTTGTTATATTATCATTACTTCTATTTTAAAATGAGGAGAGTGAAGCCCAGATTGGAGAAGGGACTTGCCCAGGTGACAAGGGAACTTGGTAGTAGAGCGGGGAGTAATACCAAGTTTTCCTGGCTGTCTAGATGGAGTCCTTTATGTCTTAGACATTGAGGTTTATGTGCCACAGAAATCTTTGAAGATTAAACGAAGGCCCAAAAGAAGAGGCCACACTGTATAAAGGTCCTCTGGCACAACCTCCATGACCCTCAGGAAGCAGAGGAGGAGGGGGAGTGCAGAGAAAAGGAGGGAGAAGAGAGGAGGCGGAAGAGAGAAAGGCAGGGAGAGGAGGAGGAGGTGGAAGAGAAGGAGTCTGGAGCCCTCTTAGCCACTAAACGGAAGATGTCTTAGCTCGGGCTGCTGTAGCAAGATACCATAGACAACAGAAATTTATTTCTCACACTTCTGGATGCTGGGAAGTCCAAGATCGAGGTGCCAGCTTGGTCAAGTGAGGGCCATCTTCCTGGTTCATAGCTGGTGCCTCTCTCTGCGTCTTCATGTGGTGGAAGGGGCTAAGGAGCCCTCTGGGGCCTCTCTTATAAGGACACTAATCCCATTCCTGAGGACTCCACCCTGATGACTTAAGCACCTTCCAAAGGCCCTACCTTCCAATACCATCATCTTTGGGGCCTAGGATGCCAGCATATGTATTTGGGGGACACACAAACACTCAGATCATAGCAGATGATCATACTGGGGATGCTCTTGAGGGGACATTTTCATTAGTTGGAGGAACTAGGCCTCAAAAATACTTAGAGTCTAAGAAATTTGTTTGAAGAATAAGGACTACAGTTTGGGTTGCCCAGCATCTCAGCCTGGTTTATGGTCACTTTTAGTGCAGTCACAGCCTCCTGAATCTCTCCTCTCAATCTAAGCTGAGCCCAGCTTGGCAAGGTCCCTCCTTGCAGCCTGAGAACAGTCAGGACTTGGCCTAGCAGTTAAAGAGAATCTGGATTTAAATCCTGTCACTTTCTGACTGACTGGGCAAGTACTTAAACTTAAGCCTCAGTTTAATCATCTATAAAATTGGGATTATAAATCTTGCCTCATAGTATCATCAGGAGGATCAAATGGGATAACACATATAAAGTTCTTAACCCAGGGCCTGGCATGTAGGAAGTGCTCAATAAATGCTCTTGACTGTTATTATCAAATGTGGTTTCCTGCCCCCATGTGTGTGCAATGGCTTCCTCATCTTCTGCCTAGCTGTGGCCTACATAAATTAGGATTTAGTTTACCTACGAAGAAATAATCCCAAACTAGTGGTAATGCAGAAAAGACAGAAATTTATTTCATCTCACATAAAATCTGGATGGGTGGTCAAGGGTGGCTATATTCCTATAGAAGGGGAGAATGGATATCAGAGACCAGTAGCAGGCTCTGCCCCAAGCCCCTGGCTTGTCCAGGCCAGCTGGGTAGCTGGGAGCCAGGTCCCTGAGGACTGAAAAACAGGGATGGAAGCATGCTGCTTCTCCTCAGCTATCCCCAGTGCCTCAGTCTGCAACAGAGATGTGGACCTGAAACTCAGGCTTCCTGCCGTGGGTCAAAGTCCTATCGTTCACAGGCCTCAATTCTAAAGGCAAGAAGAAAACTGGAGAGGCAGCTGACCGCCCCCTCCTGGCCAAGGAGAGGACACTGAGCAAAACAGAGATCAGGGAGGCAGAGTGACACAGCAAGCAGGTGGGCTTGGCACAACTTAATGGAATCGCCTGGGCAGGACGCACACCTGAAAACTGTGGGGAGGCCGGGCCACCAACTAATGCCACAATCCAAATGCCAAAATTGACAGACAGATCTGCTCTGGGGGCTTCCACCTTTCTTTTCCTGATCATGGTAACACTCCAGCAGGCCACCAGTCCTCTGCCAGGGCTCAAGGAATACCTGTCCTCCCCACTAGCCTTTACTTCATCCCACAAAGGTTTTTGGAAAGGGAGGAAAGTCCACCAGCATCTCCCTACCCTGGTGCTTCTAAAACAAGCCCCTAGACCCTTTCTGCGTCAGGAGTTTCCCTGCAAGTAGCAACAAAGGGACAGGAAACCCAAAGTCGCAGATGCCCTGGCTCTCCCCTTATGCGTGCAGTGGAGGAGCATAGACTAGGAGCGGAACACCCAGCTTTTAGGTAAGGATGTGCCACTAACTCAGGATGTGGTGTCCCCTCTGACTGTATCTTGGAGTCACTTCTTAGACATGAGGTTCCTGGGCTCTCCCTCAGACTCACTGGCTCTGTTTTTTAACTAGTTCCCCAAGAGATGCACATGCAGGTAGTCTGGGAACCAAGAGGCTGGATGACCTTGAGGTCCAGCTTGGAGTGATCTGGTTCGGATGGCTCTGAGGATCCGGGCTGTCTGAACACTGCTCTCTGAGATCTCACACCCCCTCCTTTTACTCCCAAGGGCTGGGATTATTCAAGCCTCCACAAATTATTGCACTTTCTCTTCAAGAATTCTGTCCTTCCCAGATGCTGGGCCAGTCCCATGTTGTTCCCTTCAGTGTGATTGTCTTGCCAAGTGCCCTCCCTCCCACTTCTACCTGTCAAATCCTCGTCACTCATCAAGGCTCCACTGAATTCCCACCTCCTTTTAGGAAGCATCTGTAATCTGCCCAATCCAAATTCTCTTCTGCCTTTCCTGGGCTCCCACAAACAGTTGGACATCCGCTGCAGTATAGGATGTCCCAAATGATAGCTCCTCTAACTTGGTGCACAGCCCAACTGCCCCTCATGGCTGGGGACCCCTAGGGGCTGGGTATGAAATCTTACTGCAGATCCCCTCAAGCCTGATTATAGACAGCACTTAACCCTCAGAGCTTGGATACCAAAGGAGAAAAGACAGAGAGGAAGCTGGTCGTGCTAAGACATGACTGAGAGGGGAAAGGAAGAGCCCAAACACATACAGCCAAAGTTGGGAGGAATTGGTCCATTCTTCCATCATCCTCCCCAAAGCCGAATGAATGGGTTGATCCCCTGGACAGTTTCAAGGGTTTGTACTGCAGAAAATACCTCTTCCTTTTCCTGGGATGCACTTGTTATCCAGGCTTTCAGACTGAAGTCTTTCTGGCCGATAATTCTTTAATCAACCTAGCATCTCCTTCAGAGATTTCCGGCAAGGAGGTGATGTAGGGCTGTAGAGTTTGTTCTGTGTTTAGCAATCAGAAAGGGATACCTGGAGAAGGAAATTACCCCCTTACCTCAGCCCCTAGAAGGAGCAAGGTGAGCAGGAAGGTGGGCTCTGGCTACTAGGGTTCAACTTCGAGTGCTTCCCGATTTCTGTCTCTGCCTCTGGAATACCCTTGAACTAAGGTCTATGCATTTCTCAGAAAGGTTGGGGTGGGTTGGGTGGGGATGGAAGAGGGTTAGTTAGGCCTGGGCTACACTGGCTGGGACACCTCCTGAACCCGTTCCCCTGTGCCAGGCACTGTGCTAGCGGCTTTACACGCTCACCTAACAACCCTGCAAGATACCCATTGTTACTTTAATTTTAGACATACAGAAACAGAGGCTAGGAGAGACTAGATTACTTGACAGTATTATACAATTGGAAGGTTGCAGAACAGGATTCAAAGTCAGGTCCATCTGGCTCCAGAACTTGTGTTTAACCAACCTCGCCTAGAATGAAATTTCTAGCAAGGCCTGTTTCTGTCCTAAGCTCTGGCTTCAGGCTCTCTGAAGTCCTTCCATCTCTAACAGGGCATCACCAGGGGTCTCCATTCCCTGAGGGCTGCCTGCTTGGGGACCCCAACATTTGCTCCTACTTCTTCTGCTGCAGGGAAACAAGAGCTTCCCTGAGAGTATCTTTCTAGTGTCTGTTGCCTTCTTTTGTTGTACATTTAACTTCACAGAAAGTCAACCCCCAAAGTTGAAAACTCCAAGGTCACATTCCTTGAGGTGGTGTCCACCCCTCCATATCCGTGCTCAGCCTGAGCATCTGCTCTGCTTCTACCTTCAGCCTCTGGACCACATGCCCGGCCCCTCATGGCACAGAGCCCCTGTCTGGTCGTTCTGCAAGTGGTCTCAGCACAGTTTGCTTGGCCACTTAATTTGGTGGGCATCTGGACATGGCCCAGCAGTGTCTTTCCAGGGACGCTCATTTTTTTATTTTTTCTTTGAGACAGCCAGGGGACTCCGCAAATAGGGAAAGACCTCTGCCCACTCATGCTCCTTAACGTCTGCCATCGACCTGGGGGCTGAGGAGATGAAGGGAAGAAGACAATTTAGGTGGTGTGTAGATTGAGAATGACTGTATTTATTCATTTCCAGTAGAACAAAGCATTTCACTTTCTCCCTAAATCATGGTATCTGTCACCCTGTGTTAAAGTTTCCTAGAAGGGCAGTGGGCTGCCTGCCATTGGACACCCTGTGCCCAGTACAGCACCTGGTGCAGAGGAGAGACTCAACTAACAAAGGGGGCAGAGGGAGATGGGGAAGATGCTATTAAGCACAGAGGTCCCAGTGCACCTCTGAATGTGGGAACACAAAGGGCACTTGTTCTATCCTCAACAATTGCTCCTCCATTCCCATCAAAGCTCCAGAAACCACACCATGCCTTCTGCCAGTTTCTTCCATTGGAAGAAGTCTGTCAGTTCTGCCAGACTGCAGGGAAGTCTGTGGTGCCCTCCATAATGTCACACCTCTCACCCAGCCCTAGTGGCCTGCTGCTTGTTACCCATTTCCCTGGAGGTGCCCTTGAGTCTCTATAACGTGTGCATCTTCTCATCCAGCACCATATTCTTTCCTTGTCTCTTAAGGCACGTCCCGTACTACTTTGTATGCCTTGTATATTATGAGCCAAAACCTTTGGCCAGAACACAACATAAGTAGAAGAGAGAGGCCCCAGCAGAGTAAACAACCCAGTAATGGAATGAAGATGGCCCGGCACAGTGCTCGCTGGCTGAGAGCAGGCCCAGCTGGGTGGAGGCAGGGAGACGAGAGTGCCAGGCGCAGTCCTGCAGTCTGTCAAACCCGCTCCACAGTCTGAGAGCAGAGCTTAGCAGCACTGAGACCCTGGGAACAGTGGGTACTTCCTCCCGAAACCCCGGTGGCTACAGCTGAAGCTGAGAAGAGCAATCAGCCCACTGCTATTTCTGAAGCCGCCCAGTGTGGTTACTCAGTGAGCTATTGTAATTAAGCTCATCTATAATTTGATAAGTGGAAGCAGCCTCACATTTTATAGAGTAATTAAGTCTCACTGAGAGAGCAGCACAAGGCATTTCTGGGCTCCAGCATCCCCTGAAGCGGGTCCCCATTCATACTCTCTCTCCTTCAATGCATGCCTGTCGGTGCTGAGGTCAGGATGGTCCTCAGCCATGGCTCTGGGAATACTTCCTGGCCCTGCGCTCTTCACCTCAGGCCATCAGAGCCCAGGCCACTGGCAGATCCAGACACAACGGACACACCTGCAGTGAGATGCAAGAAAGGCTCAACCTCCCTTTCCTTGCCACTATCTGCAAAACTGTGGGCTGGGAGAAAGTTGAGTTTAATGCTCCCCACCCATCACTCCTTCACAGGCTACATGGCCAGCCTCTGACTGAATGGTCCAACCCAGCTCCAGGGCTCTGATGGAGAGACTAAGTCATCCTCAGGGTAAAAGAAGGGGCCTTAGGGATAGAAGCCAGGCCTGGGTATTCTGTCTTGGCTCACCCACTTCCAGGCTCTGTGATCTCGGGCAAATCACTCCACCTCCCTGAAGCTCAGTTTCCCTATCTGTAAAATGGGAGTAGTAGCCCTTCCTGACTCATAAGCTGTTTATAAGGATCAGATGATCCCTTGGTTGTGAGGGGACATACGCATGTCGGCATCTCACCAAATGTGTTAAAACTGGTCTCAAAGTTCTTGCTGCTTGAAGGAACTTAGGTGGCCATTCAGCCTGGTGTGTGTCATCAAGACTGAGAGCTGGGATAACCACAGCTGAAAGCTTCTGTTCAGAAAGTGAGGAGTATGGAAATCTTATCAATTGAGGAACCTGGGCTCTTGAATCTGACTTGGCCATTTCCAAAGGTCCCATGTTCTGTACAGTTCCGGGTCAGAGCCAAGTGTCAAAGGCATTATGTCAGAGGTGGTATATTTCAGCTGTCTTTGGATAAATTTTCCCTAACCAAGGAAATGCTGTCTTTGGAAGTAAGGAGATCCTTGTCACTGGAGGGCTCCAAGGCCTGGCCAGCTGCCTGGAGGCTGGAAGTCACACTTGATGATGGTTGAGTCCCTTTTCCTACTCTGAGGTTGTGCGGTTCCTGGCAGCCTCTCCCAGCCCTAATCCCAGGCCCTGGTCCTTGGTTCCTGCCCAGCAGGTGCTCACCCTACACCTCTGAAGCCACAAACCTCACAAACCACCTTCCTTAGTGCCTACACACACCAGGAAGGCCTCAGATGCTCCTGGTTGGCTTGCTCACTTGTTTGGTCTGCAGCAGAGCCCCATGGCCCTCCTCACTTGACATCCTTATCCTAGGATTCTCAAGCTTCAAGCTTATATAACCCTTAAGCCCTTTGAGAGCAGCTCCAGAATCTGTCTCTCTCTGCCCAAGGTTTGGGTTTTGGTGTTCCTAGAGAATGCCCTTAGAGACTCCCCAGATGGGGCAGTGTTCGCCCAGGCCAGGCAGACTTCCTCCTAGAGGGACTCCGATGGGCTCCTTTGTCACAACCCCTCCCAGGGAGCCATGCCCAGGGCCCCAGGGAGGGAAGGAGGAGATGGGGAGAGGAGATGACTCCTGGGGCAGCACTCTGTAGGTGCACTGTGCATATGCCTTCAGATTTTTCTCACTGTTACATCACTGAGGTATTTTGTTTTCCCCTCCTTATTTTAGATCCTGGTGCCATCTGCCCTGCTTTTCATGCATCACTAGCTCCAGGCTGGAGGTTAGATTTGACTTGGCCGCCCTATTCAATCCCTCACTTGGTGAGAGACTTGGGATAGTCTGTTTCCTTGTGTGAGATGAGATAATAACCCCACCCTGCCCACCTCCCAAAGCTGCTGTGAGAACCAGGGAGCACAGTCTCTGAGCTGGCCCAGCACCGCACGGATGATCCTGGTGACGATCTGACAGCCTGAGCCTGCTGCTACCCAAGCCGAGGGAGCCTCTGCTTGCTCACGTCTGCACCTGCACCCGGAGAACTTGGCACAGCTTTGCAGGGCCAGGCCCTGTTTAAAATACAGGAAGTGAGCAGGCCTGACAGTGGGAGCAAGGGGCAGCCTTCCCGACCCCCTCGAGAAGGATCAGCTCTCTGCAAACAGACAGCCAGTGAGGGTCTAGGTGCCAGGTGACCCTGACAAACCCACCTAGTTCCCAGGGCTCTTGGGGCCACAGAGTGAAGTGGTGGTGAACAGCACAGCTCAGGAGACTTTTGCGCTGGCCCCGGGTCTGCTCAGGTCCACTGTGATGCTGCTGGGTGAGTCACTTTCCCTCTCTGGGTCTCAGCTATGTCATCTGTAAAATGGGAACAACCACCTCTGGCCTGCCCACCTCAGCTGTCTCTTGTAAGGACTAAAACTAGACCCGCACTCAAGGAGGCTCACAGCTGCTAGAAGGTGAATAGTAACTGTGAGGTTTTAATTAGCATTGAGATTATCTGGAGGGAAGTTGCTCTGGGCTTCTCAATCACTGGGATAAAAATTAAAAAGCTGCCAACCTAGCAGTCCTGACTTACGCCTGAAGGTCTCAGCAGACAAAGATGTGGCTTCTTCAGTGTTCAGTTTACTGCTGATCTTGACCCACAAGTGCGTGACCATCTCGCTTCCCCTCCAGTTCCCAGGCATCCCTGCACATGAGTAACTTCAAGTGCTGCACACATTTTCCTTTAATAAAATTAGTATGGAAATAAAATCTCCCAAGATAGAAAAATGAAATTCTGAAAAGCAATGTGGTTCAAAAAGCTCTTATTGTTATGTGAAGACCATGGCCATCAAGCGTCCCGCCCTGGGCTCTGAAGGGTTTCAGCCTGCCTGCCCACCCTATCATCCACACAGGCCCTCTGGGCCTCACCGTGCAGGCAGGGAGCTGTGCAGGGCATCCCTGGTTGATGACAGAGGGGACCCAGATCCAAAAGTCAGGCTGAATTTGCTCGTTGTCAGACCCCCTTTTCCTTGGCACTGCCTAAGCCCTGTGGCCGGTTCCAGCTGCCCAGGTTCTGCCTTCTCCTGGCACTAGGCTCCACGTTTAAGCCAGGCAGCTACTAGAAGAAAAGGAACATTGTTTCTGTGTCTTTGTGCCCAGACTGCTTCCAAGGCGGGGATCATCAACCCTTTAGAGATCACCAGCTTGGGTGGGAGCTGAGGCCACTCTGCTGTGAAGGAGGCAGGGCGCCCCCTAGTGGCAGGCCTGGCCCTTCCAGGGCGAGGCGGAAGTGCTAGTTGGACTTTCAGGGCTGGAACTCAGGACTCTGTCCAAAGGCCTGCAGCTACCTGGAGAAGGGTGTTGCCTAGTTTTGGTCCAAACATGGAGGCTCTGGGCAATTGCAGGAATAACAGCCTTCAAACCCAAACCCAAGAAGTGATAACACAGACTCTGCTTATCAGTGACCTGGCTTAATTAAAAATAAGGCCATAGCAGGAAGGTGAGCCATCAATGCAGGCCACCCTGAGCGCCACGGAACGTGTGTGTGTGTGTGTGTGTGTGTGTGTGTGTGTGTGTGTATAAGCACCATGTGAGACAGACAGGGAACCTCGACCCACCCCTGAGGGAAAAGATGCCATAGTGCCTGTCCTATGTATCATGGCTCCTGCCAAGAAAGCCCCATCAACCTGGGTCCCTCCCCAGGGAAAATCAAACCAGACCCAAACCAGAAGCAAACCACCCCTTAGCCAATGAGCACCTCCACACAAGTATGTCCTAAGACAGGATGGAGAAATCTCAAATGGAAATCTCCAGAATGTCACTACCCCCTCGACACAGCTCTGAATTACTGGCTGCAGGCTACACATGGCAGCACCATGGACATGCAAAGATGTGCACGGTGGGCACATGGTGTGTGTGGCTCGGGCGAGGACACAGAGCTCATCACAATATCCTCAGGTAACTGGCTCCAGAGCAGCCCCGGAACCCAAAGCGTGAAGTGTTTCTATGGCACTGACAAGAACACATGGCTTGCACCTTTAGATTTTATACAAAGCAGTAAGAACAACATTGATTTACAAACAATAAAAAGGTAATTCATATCCTCTTCATGCTGAAAATTCTTCATGTACAAAAAGAAAAATAAACTGTCTGTTTTTACTCCTGAGGCTGATTTAAGGATCAAATGAAAGAACTTTTTTGAACTGATATTTTGGCTTAAAAATGTAAAGGATTTGGATTCTATTTCATAATAAATCTGTTGCTAATATAAAGATGTCTCCCCAAAATCTTTATATAAAATCAACTCCAGAAAGATGCACCATGTTTGGCCTGAGGTCTGGGGCCCTGTCCGCCACTCTGCACCACGACTGAGATGGTCCGAGCCACTCCCTGGGCACACAAGTTGGGCTGGGCTACCCGCTCTGGTTAATGCTCAAACTGGTATTGGGTTCTCCAGAGACGGGGATAATTCACACATGGGTAATCAAGAGGCGAAGACACAAGCCCCTCACTCCCTCCCTCCTTTCTCTTCCCTCCCCTCAGGGCTCCCCAACAGACACCAGTGGGAAATTCCTCAGTGTATGTAGATTCTGTCAGAGATCGCTCCAGGCAAGTGGGTCATGATCTGCATTCGTACCCACCAGTAGTAGTCCATGGGGTGGTAGCGAGTGTAGGGGGTGGCGGAGGTCAGGGCGTGGGTGACAGCTTTGATGACAGGGGACATGTCTGTGGAGCCGCTGTTGCAGTAAGTCTGCATCCTCACAACTGCCTCATCAAAGTACTTCTTGCCGTAGTCCTTGCGCACCACCTCAGGTAGCTCATCCCACATCTTATTGGCAATGGCCCGGATGCGCTCAAGGCTGTAGAGGCTGGTGGCAGCGATGAAGTTGCCAGGTTCCACCACGCTGACCTTCACTCCCAGTGGGTGCATCTCATAGCGCAGGCAGTCAGAGAACGCCTCCACCCCAAACTTGGTGATGCAGTATGGGGAGCGGGCCACGTTGGCCATGCGGCCCATCACGCTGCTGATGTTGACGACACGGCCTGTGGAGGAAGATAGCAAACACCTGCTGGGGGGTGGGGGGCACTGCCAGTGGGGTGCAGAGGGTCGGGGGTCTGGCACGTTTCAGGAGGTCTGTCTGGAACCTGGCCTCCTGGCCCCTGACACCAGTTTTGCTGCTTGCTGGGCTGGGGCTCAGCCTTTTGACCCACCCAGGGTCAGGGCGCCTGTTAATTTATAGTCAAGGCCAGCTCAGGCCCACACATCAGCATCCCCAGTATTTCCTGGGCAGCCGGTGGTGCCAGGCAGGACAGGACAGGAGAAGAGAAATATGTGAGAAACAGACCTGCATGACAGGAGGGCACAGCATAACGGGCAACACACAACTAAGCTGTGTCTCACCTCCCACATTCTCTCACTGTATTTTCACCCCAAATTGTTATCACCTGGCAGGGCTCTGTTGGCAAGTGGGCAGGGGCAGGGGCAGGGTTCTGAACCTCACTTCAGGGCTAAGACATGTGGGCAGAGTCTCGGCACTGGTAGAGAGAGGGGCGCCTGGAGAGGCTCTCCCACGGGCCCAGCCTAGGGGTGCTAGCAGCTGACCACACCTTCTCCCAGCCCCAGCGCAGTAGGTGGAGGTGGAGCCCACCCAGCATGCTCAGTAAGCCCAGGCGGACCTGTGACCCAGTTGCTCCAGGTGTGCGCCCAGGAAGTTAAGGCACAGCCCACCTGGGCACTATGGGGAGGCACATTTCAGAAACCACTAACTTGGAAGTTGCTGCAAGGTTGGGGTTTTCTTCTAAACCCTACAGCTGCTCTCTGGGTTCTTCCTATTATTGCTGGGACCTTAGAATCAATCGTACACCTCTCCCTTTCTTCCTCTTTTTGCCATAATTGTTTGCTATTATAGGGAGAAAATCTGAGTCAGTGACACCTTAGGTGGTTTGCTTACGTTTGGCTACCTAACATGGTTTGGGCGTTTTGTCTGCTTTGCCAATTTCTAATCTTGATTATTATTATTTTTACCAACTACCACAATTGTCTCATTTTTTAACTATGGCATAGTAACCCATAGCATGGATATACCAAAATTTACTTAACCACACCCCTACTGATGCCTGATGTGTACACACAGCTCTGTGGTTATTTGAACAGATTAAGTTCCCAGACTGGGATTACTGCTAGAATCTTTTAGCCTTTGGTGCAGAGACTACTGACCTCTTACCTGCTCTGCTTTCTGAAAACCACACATCCCTCTCTGCCCACCTGTCCAGGGCACCTTGGCTCACCACCATACACAGGCCCCACGTGGCCCCTGAGAGGCATGTGTTCAGCCAGTGAGGCCGATGGATTCTGAACAAAGATGAAAGGGTGGAGCAGGTCCAGGGGACAGGAAGAAGGTCCCTTTCTGACTCACCTTTGGCCCTTCGGATGAGGGGGAGAAAGGCTTTTGTCACTCGCACTGTGCCCCAGAGGTTCACTTCGGCCATCTCCTTGTAGGTCTCCATACTGGTGAACTCCACCTCCCCGAATGTTGAGATGCCCGCATTGTTAACCAGGCCCCACAAGCCTGGACAGGTGGGGACAGAACCATGGTCATCGCAGGGCTCGGCCTCAGATACCACCCATCAGCCTGCAGCCTATTCTCCTCCCAACTTTTATTCCTTTTCCCCGTAACTTGCCAGCTTCTTGTCCAAGGCTCTTGGGACATGTTCTAGAGTCCCCCAAGAGTAGCAGGGAGATGGAGAGGCTGAAAGTGCTGGCTGCGACCCTTTCGTCTCGAATGTCCGATCCTCATCTGACTTCTGCGTGCATCGATTTTCTGACCCATCATGAACCAGCCCTATTGGGTGGCCCCAGCCTGGAGTCCCACCTCCCCTCACTCACTCCCACTCTATTCCATCCGGTCTCATCTCACACCCTGCACCTGGGCACATTTATTCATTCCTGCCTCTGAGCCTCCGCTTGCATTCTCCCCCTTGTCAGAAACCAGGAGAGCCTCAGGAGTCTTCCAGGCCAAACTCCCTGGAGGACCAGAGAGGGGACCCAGCGTCCAAGGTCACACAGCAAGTTAGAGGCTCAGCCAAGTCTTGAGGCAGGTCAGGCTTCCAGTCTGGCTCCACTCTGAGACCCTCCTACAATTACTCTATTTTCTGATCTCCCCTCTGTGAACCATGCACTGTTGGCTAGGGGTCATGTGGTAAGCCCTCATGAGCTGGTAAACTGTTTACCAACATCCCATGTGAATACACCTGGTCTTTGCAGGTAGAGAACACCTCTCAGCCCTGTGTGGTCCCACGGGGCTTAGTATAGGGTCAGAGCAAACATAAACTCTCCAAGTGTACTTGGGTTGACTGTTTCCTGCAAAACCAGCTAAGGGACAGCTGGCTTGTGTAGACTCAGAAAAAACGGGTGCTAGAAGGATGATTGGAGTTCATTTAGTCTGACAACTGCTCTCGCAGCTTGGGAAATGGAGAGCCCGAGGGGAAAGACTGGCTTCGGTGTGCTCAGTAAGGCAGAAGCAGGGATGAAGTAGGGGACGGGGCAATGAGGAGGCACCTCGTTCTGCAGAGCCCTCTCTTTGAGTTCTGTGTTTGGAGCGCAAGGGCTGGATGGGCTGGAGCCTCAGGACAGAGCCGGGCCCTGCCCCTTTCTTGTGGAAATCCTCAGGGCTTGGGCTCCAAGGCCCTGAAAGCCCAGTGCTCCTCCCTGAGACATCGCCTCAGGGCAGAGCTGCCCTCCTAGGGGCTGCCCCCACTACCCACACCGCCTCCCTGCCTGCGGGAACTCTGGCCCCACTTCCCTTCCCCAGTTCACTGTGGAAATGAGTTTGTGTAAATGACAGAGTCATTGGTCTCTAGCTGCTTTCCTTCCGTGTTACCCAAATTAAAGCTTCATCACCTGACCTCTGGTACTATCGCCTTCAATTATGGAGAACTAAGGGCATTTATTAGAGAAAGGAAATTGCTGGTTAACAGAGTGTTCATGACCTTCTCACTCACACTCCCTGCGGCAGCCCAGATGAAGGCTCCCCCCTCCCCAGCTCTCATGGGTGACCTCACAGGGGTGCAGCGCTACACCCTCTGTAGACTTCCCCCTGGAGTCTTCATCCTTCTCCTCGCCCCAGGAAGAGCAGGAGGCCTCTTACCAATTGTCAAGGCTGACACTTCACTCTCTACCTTCCAAACCATCAGCCAGCAATCCTTCCCTCTTTTTGAAGCAACATTTGTGCTTCCATGGCCCCTGGCTCCTTCCCTTCAATGTTGTGCATATTAGATGCTCAATAAATGTTTTTCAGATGAACAGATGTCTACAAATACCATGTCTGCATATTCTAAAGAAACTTCTTTTAACCATGCCACCCCTCTCGCGACTGTCTGCTCTCCTTCCCTCCATGACCAGCCTTTTCTCTGTTCCCCATTTCCCTGCTAATCTGGGTCCCAGCCCCATGCTGCCCCGGGGTGTTCAGGGCACCACATGCTAAGGATGCTTCCCCATCCCCACCTTATCCATCTTCACTGACCTCAACCTCCCCCTGGTGTGAGCACTACTCATGGTTCCTGACCCTTACTTCTCCCTTGGCACTAAGGATACCCAAGCATCTCCTCCATCTTCCCTGACCCCTTCTTCTACCTGCCCCCTAGTGTCCTGTCCTAGGCCACCTTCCCTCAAAAGACACTCAATGCTTGGGCAGCCTCGTCTTCTTTATGTTCACGGAAATTTCCAGCTGCTTTGTGTTTGATTCATATGGGACAGTACCACATGACATAAAATAGATACAGTCCTTTTGTCCACCTAAAAATTAATTACATCTGACACTGATATTGAACAAAGTTTAACTGAACTTGACCTGTGGAAGCCCACTGCTCCTGGATTACAGCTCTGCTGACATGAAAAGTAGCAAAAGTCTGTGGACCCAGAGGCTCCTGAGAGCCCTCAGCCAACGGTCTGAATAAACTCACGACATTCCTTCTGGTCTGGATGACAGCTGTTTGCCTCCAACAGCCCCATCGCCACCTCTGCGTGACTGTTCCCGTGTATCCCTCAGGAGTCCTGGCTCTCTCCTGACCCCCCCTCCTCCTCCTGACAGTTACTGTCACCTAAGTGTCACACAGGTCTCCAACTCACTCTAACCAACCAACACACCAAGTGCCCTGTGGCCCAGGCCTGCTCCTCTTCTTTGTTAATAGTTTCCCTTTCATCTGTGATTCCTTCAGCTCCTTCACTTCTCCAACTAACGAGTCACCAAATGCTGCTAACATGACTCATAAAGATCTAAAGGAGAGCTGCCGAGCCCTGAACTAAGCCCTTTGCATTCATTCATTCCCCTGATCCTCACAACCAATCTATAAAGTAAATACTAAATGGCCCCATATCTGGATGAGGCAACTCAGGCTCAGAAAGGCCAAGCACCATGCTCAGCGTCACCCAGCTAACAAGTGGACAGGACGGCATTGGGAGCCAGGTCTGTTCCACTATTGGCTTCCTTTGATGTGTCCCTAGAATTGGTGTCTTCTTTCCTGTGTCCACAGCTTTAGTTTGAGTCATGTTGCCTCCCTCCCGTGTTATTGGAGAAGCCCTCCGGTCTCCCTGTCACATCTCTTTCCTCCACCTCCATCCTGTCCTGTCCCCCTCAGCTTGGCTCTCGTCCTCTGTCAGGCCCTTCCTGCTCCTGTGCTCCTCTTCCAGAGTGGGGCATGTGAGGCCTCCTTTCCACCTTCTCACCTACCCTCTGCCATGGACTCTGCCCTCTCTGAGCCTGAACAGCCCACCACTCCTCTGACGTCATGGCCCCTCCTGCCTCTGCTGCTTCCTGGCTCCGCTCAGCTCCCCCATCCCTCAGCCTGAAAGCAGCTTTCGTTGAAATGCTCCTGCCATGGTCAGATCGAGGTGTGAGCCTCACAGATGGGCAGGCTGAAGCCCACACAGGTGAATGTAAGCCCAAGCTCACACTTCTAGTAAGAGGCCAAGCCCAGAGAAATGCCACTCTTCTTACTCCCAGACCAACGGTGTCCCAGACATTGGGTCTTCCTTGTCCCTCCATAATGTCCCCAGTACTACAACCCTTCCTCACAGGTCCCGCCGTGAAGCCACCAACTTCTACTTGGCTGGTGCCCAACCGCAAATTTCTCCTGCCAGCTCATACCCTTTCTGGTGCCCAGCACACTATCAAGTATACATCAGGTACTCAATACATGTTTATTGACTGCAAGGTAAAGGACTGTTTCACATCAGGCCGTGCCCACAACCTGCTGGTTGGTCCACTCACTCTGCCTTTCCCTGGGGTGGGAGAGGAGAGGGCTGGTCCCAGGCTCCCCATGTCTGGTCCCTCAGAGTCCTGCTGGGGAGCAAAGGGGCTGGTGGCAGATGGCTCACCAGCCCTAATCTAACAAGCCCCTTCATCTCACTGCCAAGGCTCGCTCCCCTGGCTTTGGCAACAACCGTTCCACGGAGCCAGGGTGAAGGGCATCAGACTCGCCATCAAAAGTGTGCCCTCCATGGCGGAGGCAGTGGGGGTAGGACTTGTTTCCTAGAAGGCTCTTGCCAGGGTAGATGGCTGGAGTGTGAGTCTGAAGCAGCCATGGGATCAGGGAAGGCTTCTGGTCTGAAAGCTCAGAGAGGCGCCACCTGGAGGCCAAAGGCAGTACTGCCTGAGAAGGGGAGAATTTGTACTGTCTTACCAGGAAAAAGACAGCCCATGTAGGGAACAGGAAGGGAAAGAAAGAGGGAGAGAGAGACTTGCTCAACCACGGATCTGACAGAGTTATTTTCTTTTTCAGACCTAAAAATCTTCAAATCTTTTTCCAAAAAAATGCAGTATGGGTTAAGTAAGGTCGTGATGCCCTCACCAGAATATGTTGTATGGAAAAAAGCAGCAGGGAAAGGCTTGTGCATCAGAGTGGTGCTGGGGTTTGAGCCCAGCCCAAGGGTTGGGGGTGAGCGCCTCCTCTTGTAGCTCAGGGTCCACCCTGCCTTGCCCCGTTAGGCTAACTGGCCAAACCTGGACAGGGAATGGAGATGGTCCCGCCCCGGTGGCAGAAGACAAGGACCAGGGCCCCAAGCAGCCCCCAGCCTTGGAGCAGCCCTGTTCTGCACTCAGGTCTACACTGACAATTCCTTTCTATGGGCATTTTAATCACCACAAACCCACAGGCTTAATGAAGTGGCTTTATGGAGCTGACTGCAGCTGTTTTCTGGCCTAATAGTTTATGAAGGTGGCCCAGGGAAGGCGGGCTGGAGGAAGATTTACCATCAGGAAGGGGATGAAGCAGGCTGTATCTTCCAAGCTGGTAATCATCCCAGTGGGACCCATCCTGCCTTTTCTTAATGGGACAGGAATCCTGGCTCTGCCTGTTAATTACTAAACAGATGTTCAGTGAGTTCGGGAACTCACAGGCCTCTCCTCAAAGAGCAGAGGGGCCTGGGAATGGTCTGCTGGGGCCTGGGGGTGGCACTGGACTGACAAGGTGATGCATCAGTGGTAGCTACATGGGACAGGAGCCCCGGGGATGGTTTCTGGGGGGTGACAGCGTGCTCAGCAGGGTGACCAGCACAGGCCCTGGTCACCCCACCCACTTCCCCCTTCCCTAACAGCGACTTCCCTTCACCACTCAGGAGAGCTGTTCCCACCCCGTCCTGCAGGAAAGCAGAGAGCTGAAGGAAGCATACCCCTTTTGCCTGGGCTGTTATGTGTCTCAAAGATAAATGTCCTGGATGAAGCAAGTGGAACAGAATGCGGCACCATCACCACTGTGGTCTACAGGAACCATGACCCCTCCCCTCTGTGGTACAGCAGAGCCTCTCCTACCAAGGTCCCCCATGGGCTGAACTGGGAGGGCAATTGAGTGCTTATGGAATTTTCTGTAGCACGTGACCCTGTTGGCTACTGGCCCCCAAACTTTCTGTTCCCTTAGCTTCTGGGGCACCATACCCAATTTCTCTGACAGTTGTCTTCCCCTTCTCTGGCTCTTAATTGCTTCTGCTCCCGAGGAGTCCCTCTGTGCATCTCCCCCACTCCTAGTCTCACTTCTGACCATGGACTCCTGATCTCCAGCCCGGAAACTTCCCTAGGGGGCCCATGGGCACTTCAGCAACTCCCATCCCTCAACCTGCTCCTGCAGTGAGGGGCACCAGGTGTCCAGGATACAGACTTCTTGCCTCTCCCACATCCCCACATGCACCAGTCACCAAGTCCAGCCAGCTCTGTCTTCTCCGTACTCCTCAAATCTGACCCCTCCTCTTTCCCAGCGCCCACTGCCCCCATGCAGGATGCTCACACGCACACTCTCCCCTTAAATCCAGCCTCCACTCTGCAACCACTGTCCCAGAGTGAGCCTTTACAAGTCATTCCCCACATGAAATCCCCTGCACTGGTTCCCACTGCTCTCCAGAGAATGGCCACACTCCTTCGCCCTGGACCACATTCTTCCCCCACCTCATTTGCTGCCAACAGACCTGCCTCCCCTGCCCTCCGACCTGCTGTCCCCCAGCACAGCCTGTGTGCTTCCCCTACAGTTCCTGCTCTCCCTCCTCCTGGAAGGCCCCTCCTGCGCTCTGCCACAACCTGCACTGACTGACCCATCCCCCAGGCCACCCTGAGACTGGGCTACGTCCCTCTGTCCTGTGCTGCTCCCTGAGAGGGGATGTGGAGATCATCTGGGTCAGCCACCTATGTCCCCAATGAGCTGTGAGATCCTTGGGATCAGAGATTATGTCTTGGCCATCTCTGTGTCTGCAACAGCAGCCCAGCACCTGGCCCAGAGCGGGCACTCAATAAGCGCTGGCTAGACTGACCTGCACTGCCTCACTACAGTGTGAAATTTAACCCACTTCCTCCTACTGTGCAGGAAGGAAGAGCTCAGACAATAGAGAAAGCTGTCTTTTGGCAGGATGTTAGCAAATGGAAGGTGGTATTTGGGGAAGGCCCCCTGGGATGGCCTGGGCGCTATATCCACTGCCCCAAGGTGCCCCCTACCTTTCTCAGGGTCCTTCAGGCTCGAGCGGATGATCTCCAGCACTTTGTCTACCTCTTCACTTTTGCAGACGTTGAGCTGGACGGTTCTTAATCGATCACTCTTCAAATTGTCCAGCTCCTTGACCCCGTCACCCTCTTTGTCCTGGGGAGGAGAGAAGAGTTGCTTTGCCTGCCTCCTTCCTACCCTGAGTCCAGGGTGAGGTCCAGGGCCAAGGCAGGGAGCTGCCCCAAGTCCCAGCCAAAGCCCGGGGCTTACTAACAGCTTACTAACAGCCGCAGGTGGTGGTCTCCGGAGGCTCTCCCGGGCCTGCTCCACCAGCAGGTGGTTCTAGTCACCCCCTGAGCACTGATGACATATCAAGCCCAAACTAACACAAATTCCCAAAGCCTTGCCGGCAGGATTCTTTCTCTAAGCAGAGGTTGCAAACTCAGTACCTACCAGACCACGGGGAGGGTGGGCCCTCAGGAATGGAGCACATGCCTTGCCTCTTGCCACCTGCCAGCTGTTACCCACTTGGGTATGTAAGTCCAGGGTTGCCAGAGGCTTACATTTTTTAAGCTAGTAATTAGGATCTCCTAACTTTTTAAGTGTTGGCAACTTACACTTAAAAAACTAAAAAAAAAAAAAAGAAAACTAAACCAGTATATGGGCCAAAGCACATCCACAGCCACATGTGACCAGCAGCAGGCTGCCAGTTTGTTACCTCTGTTCTAAGCCAAGAGCCAGTCATCCAGTCATCTCCAGGTTGATCAGTGACCAGAACCCGGCTCTAATTCCAGTTCAGTCACTAACCAGGCTCTGCACGCAGGTGCAGCCTTAAGAGGTGCCCAGTTTTTCCAGCTACGGTTGAAAATCAGAGTATCGCCACCTGTCCTGACCTGCTCAGGTTAATGGAATGAGGGAATTGTTGTTGCTGTTATTTTAAACCTGCTAAATGATAAAGCACTATGCAAATTTAGGTATTATTAAACATGAGAAAAGTGTCACTCACTCAACAAACATTTCTTGGGCCTCTATTATGTTCCAGCACTGTGCTAAGAACACAGGCACAAAAATAAATATCTCAGCCTCTGTTCTCAAAGAGTCACGTTTCTGGGACAGAGGTAGGTGAGTAAACAATTTGGGGGGTCTTTGCTGTATGAAAACTTATGGGAGGAGAGAGGCTGCACAGAGAGTGGGATGGACAGGGAAGGCCTTCCAAAGGCAGTGACAGCAGAGGACATTTACCAGAGGGGGCCATGTGGATGGGGTGCTTCAAGAAGAGGGGCCCTGTGGTCCTGCTGTAAGCCACGGCAGGCAGAGCAGAGGCAGAAGTGGTGGGACTTGAGGCTGGAGAGGGGGAAAGGGGTCTGCCTGGGGACAGTGGAGAGCTGCTGTAGGCTCTGAATAAAGCAGACATTTGTCAAGTGTTTACTGTGCTTCACGCTGGGCTAAGCACTTGACATGTATTATATTATTAGCCCTCACATCATGAACAGGTTGTATTATCATAGTTTCTCTATTCTATGGTGCACTTTTTTTTTCACCATAGGAATGAGCTACAATCGATGTGAAAATTAAACACTGTTGGCCATAATTAAATTGGCAGTGACTGTTTTCGGTGGTGCAGGGAATAACAATGCATCTGACGAGAGGACAGGAGTAGCTGCCAGAGGATGAAGTGAGAGAGAAATGTCTACTGCCAGTCGAGGGCCAGCCTGTGGTACAGCTGGTACTGAAGCAAATGTCCCTGGCAAGGCCAGAATGGGACACACTGGGGTGGCCAGCATATGTTAGTGGTGGAAAGTTCTCTACAGGTTGGGCTGAGTGTCGTAAGTGGTTTGAAGCAGGAGGATGCTAACCCCAGGCCCGGAAGACCCACACCATGTAATGTCAGAGCGACCTGGGAGAGAATGTGAAGAGATCTGTTCAAAGGGGACCAACGGCGCTGGAGATAATCACTCTGGGGAGAAGACTCAGGAGAACATGATGGGGAGGGGCCCAACTTGTCCTATGCAGCCCAGAAAATAGAACAAGGGCCGAGAAGTCAAAGTCAGGCCAAATGAGGAATGACTGTCACGTTCAGAGATGGTGTGGACAGCCCAGCAGGTGTTTGGACAGTGAGGGTGGATGTGGTGCAGAGGAAACCCAGGTATCAGGCAGGAGGCTGGGCTAATCCCCCTCTAAGATCTCTTCCACTCCAAAACTGTCATCTTCCACAGGGAGCCTCCCCAGGGGCTCTGGAGGAAGCAACATGGTGTGCCCCAACCCCTGAGTTTCTGCCCTACCTGGCAGCAGGATTGCCAGCTACAACCAGAGTCACCTCTGCACAGAGCAGCCAGGTGTGAGGCTCCAAGGCTTGGCTCTGAACCCCCCTAGAGGTGTCAGTCTTCCCAAATGACATGGTGTCCCATCTGCAGGGGAACCAACAGGCCTGGAACTCCTGCTGCCATTCCCACAGAGGGCCCCACCAGGAACTCCCTGTAATGCCATCCTCAAGTCCAGAGGCTGGAGGGGCTGGTACCTACAGACATCTCTTTTTCCCACCGACAGCACACAGGCATCAGGAAAATACATATCTTGTTTTAATTTAGTCTTGGCATCATGGTTCCTTGAACGGCCCTCGAGGCAGAGCCTGGGAGGTCTGAGCCTCCAGGGGGCGCTGACGTCTACTGCCACTGCAATAGACTGGAGCTGAGGTGCACGAGGGCCAGCTGAGTGTCCTTTCCTCCTCTGGACTTTGTTAACCCTGTTGTCATCTTGCAACAACTTCAGACCCCATACCTGTGCGTCTGTCAGCATCAACCCGACGCCCTGCAGCCCCAGAAGGAGCCCTGCACTCCAGGTCAGGGAGCCCACAGAAGCTTAGTTTGACAGCTTGGCAGCTAAGAGTCTTCACATGGAGGAAAGCGAGGGTTAATCTCACTGCCCACAGCTTCCGGGTCAGCATTCAGGCCCCTAGGAGAGAAACACCACCTCCTGCCTTCTCCTGACAGACTTGCCCAGGAGTCCTCCTCTGGCCTCTGAGCTGCCTGCATGTTCTGTTCCTGACAGCAGGGATAGGGACGGTCAGTTTGTCCCCAGCTGATCCAAGAAAACCTTTCTCAACCCACCTCAGCCCACAGCCTGCTGACTGTGGCAGCCTGCCCACTTCCAGAGCCACCTGTCCGAGGGCCAAGGCCGCACTGCCTGGGCCATACTGCCTCCCTGGCTCCAGGGTTTCTGTCTTTGTCCACGTCTGCCTTGCTGCTCAGAAACAAGCACTCTTTCCTACTGTGTGGTGCCCCTGTATCTGGTTTTTTTGATAAACCCACTTCTTTCACTATCCCTTTAAACTTCAACGGTAAGCTATTTTTTCCACTCCTAGATGAAACTTCAGGCAAGTCTTGTAGCTTTTCTACTCACTCTTAGATCATAGAGAACCTCTTTGTTTTGGCATACAGTCCAGTTCAGTCTATTAATCAAATAATTCCAGCCCAGGCTGGTTGGAATACCCAAAGTCTCAAACTTGTATTCAACGTAGAGCCTGCCCTGCCCCAGGCCTGACAGGGCGCGGGAAGTGGGATGCCGGGCAGCAGGGCTGGAGGCTGTCTTCCTCACTATCTTCTAGCTCCTCCTCCTCTCCTGGTCCTTAATCTCTGACCCTTTCAGCGTTGGGTGCAGGGGCTGGCCAATGGGAGGGCAAGACTTCAGTCTTCCGAGGGTGGTGCCATTTTTGTTGGCCCTTGTTGCCCTGGGTCAGCAGATACACATGAGCTGGCCCTCCCGCCTTAGGATACTTCTGTGGGTCCCACAGAGATCCCTCCACTGGACCATCCCCTCCTCCAGCTGGGCATCCCCTTCAGCCTGGGCTTCAGTGGGACACCCCTCTGGCTAGGGTCACATGGAACCTCCTCAGTGCCTCACTGGGCAGGTGCCCTTGAGATGACTCCAGGCAGCTCTCCCCTTGTCACATCAGGTCCAGGCAGCAGTGTCCTGCCTGGGTAGGAGGACACCTTCTCTCTATGCAGTTCTCTCTGCCCTGCCTCCAGACAAGCCACGCCAGCTCATTTTAGGGCTTTTAGACTTCTTTTGGTAAATATCAACACACCATTCTGTGACCTCCAAACTCCAAGGCACAAAAGGTAAGCTTTCCAAGAAAGCTCTCTTGAAGCACACCTCATTTCACTTGAGACCAGAGGGAAAATATCACAGCACACTAACTACTCTTTCCAACCTCTCAACCTCTTCTCCTCAAGTTACTACAACATTGAGGCAGGTGAAGGACTCATCCTGACAGAAAGGATTCACAGTCTCTCAGCACCAATAGTTAGGCGGTCTAGCACCTCAAGGCAGGATGGGAGGACGCTCAGCACGTGTTATACCTGAGCATTTATCACACGTTTTAGAAACACAGTGACAAGAGAAGCAAGCCTGGGGCATTGGAATACTTACAGCATGAGCCAAAGGAGGAGCCAGCAGAGAAGATGGAGAAAAAACAAGAGAGCAGGGTGTCCACGAAGTCAAGAAACAAAGCGTAACAAGCAAGAGTGGTTTGTCAGAGGCATTCAGAGCCCCACCTTCCTTTCTCAGCTTCCTCTTCCTTCAGCTACCTCAGACTCCCGGTGGTGCCTGGATATGTCACCTCCACTCACCACAGGGAACTCCTATCTGTCCTTCCAGATGGTGATGAAATGCCACCTTGGCCCACCAAGCCTTCCCTGCGCTCCCAGAGAGAGACAATCTGTTCCTTCTCTGATACAGATCTTACCACTGCCACCTCCATTCTCATTCATGCTATGCCCCTCTCACTTACTGGGCTTCAGCCACAGAGGCCTCTTGCTGTTTCTCTAACACCCTGGGTACACACCCTCCTCGGAGGTTTTGGCTTGGCTTTCCCGTGTTCCCCACACGTCTGCAAGACTCGCTCCTTTGCCTCCTCCCAATGTCACCTTCTCGGTGAGGTCTTTCTTCCCTCTTTAAAACCAAGCACCTCTTCTGCCACATTCACCCTCCATCTTCTTTTCCTGTTTTATTTTTCTCCATAGCGTTTATCATCTCAAGGAGAAGCTATTTACTTACTTACTGTATTCCTTGTCTATCTCCTCCCCTCATGTAGGCTCCACAGGGCAAGAACTTGTCAATGAATTGGTACAAGCTGTATCTCCAACTGAGAATATTGT